AATATTTTCTAATAATTTTTTTTTTTATAAATAAAGCCCCACCTCAAATATGCATAATAAAAAAGTGTTTTGTTTTATCAGTATAATATATACGGTATTCAAATACAAGTCGAGAATAGAATCAGGCCGTGACCCCAAATGTAAAGTAATTTTTATTCATAAAATAACCATTTACACAAATTATATCTTCTTAAAATAATTTCTCCAGCAGAACCATAAAATTTATATTCCTTGTGGTGGCTATTATTTTGATATTTTATTTTATCGTCATTGACTTGCAGGTATGCCAAATAAATGTCTATTAATTATTCTCACCTGTAGGGTATGGATAAGTAGTCAAATGAACAAAGTACAGGGCAATAAATTAAGCGAAGTGTTTTTTTTAGTAACGATGGATTTCAGTAAGGAAAGTAATGGCGAGTTAGGCAGGGTATAACTACACTACTCGGAGGGAAAAAACACACATGATGAATGTTCAGGCATTGGTCCAAGCACGCTACGGGGCATCAATGGACCTTACCCAGTGACGTGAAATTGACGACATTACAGTAACAACGACCATGATAACTGTATACAAGCCATGCATGGCACAGTCCCTGTTAGTTATCAAATTTAAGACAAAGTTTTGTTTATAGTAATATAGCTGGAATATAAACATGTCAGGAATATGATGATTGTTTAACATTTAAATGATTGACATTTGTATCTGATCGTCAAACGAGTATTGAGAGATATTGCTCTGGAACAGCATTAATTAAAACAAAATCAGCTATTATGAATATATGTATAATGAATATATGAAATTTGAACATAGTCAGTCAAAGCATGTCAGAGATATGGCTCTAAAAGCCCATTCATTAAAACAAAATGGCCACGAGTCAGCCATTCAGAATCCGATCTAAAAAATAAAACAAGTTTTTTAGCACAAAAATAGCCACCATTAGGCCACTTTGAAAAGGATTGTCAAACCAATATATCCGTATATCTGTGACATGATGTATAATGAATATTAAAAATTTGAACATAATCAGTCAAAACAAGTCAGACATATGGGTCTGGAAACCCATTCATTAAAATAAAATGGCCACCGGACAGCCATTTTGAGTCTGATCTGAAAAATAAAATGACGTGCATCAGGAACCCGTAATGTCTAATGTAAGTTTGAACGAAATCCATCCATAAATGCCAGAAATGCTTGATATTTGATGATTTTTTAGCACAAAAATGACAACCATTCTGCCATTTTGAATAGGTTCGTCAAACCAATATATCTGTCTATCTATGACATGATGTATAATGAATATTTAAAATTTGAACATAATCAGACAAAACAAGTTGGAAATATGGGTCTAGAAGCCCATTCATTAAAACAAAATGGCCGCCAGTCGGCCA